TCTAAACTTGTGTTCAGACATATTACTATAAACATCAACCACAATAGCCTGTTATATAATAAACATGCCAAACGATATTCCAAATTTTTGGGATTTGTAAAGGCTATTATTGACTATTAGAAATTACTGTATTTCGATTTGTTTTTGTTTTCAGCAAATTGAATTCGCATTTCAGGTTGGTTCATCCGGCACTAGAAGAAAAGATAAAGTAGATTCACGCTTCTTAAGAATGAATATTGTATAATTTTCTTTGAATAAACGTTATACATAAAATATTTGAGTATTTTTTTCGGTATGAAACGCATTATCGTATTTTACATTAAACTATATTGAAATATTGTTTGCTTAACGAGTGTTTCACTTTACGAATAACATTCTAGAACAAATTATGCTCGTTAAACGAGGTTTCGCTGTAACAGATGTAAAAATAATAGATGTTATACGTTTTTTATTAAAGCAAGAAATGACATTCAGAGAGCATAGAGAATATATTGAATCTAATAACAGATGTAACTATATTGAATTCGTTTATTTATGAAGTACGTAAGTGAATGAATTAAAATACATGTAGAGAAATATACGGTTTTTACTGGCTTAGCGAACGTAATTCATAATGCTCTCTCTAAATTGTTTTATTGCAAGAAATTGAAAAGGCAAATTAAAACACAAAATGTGTTGCTATAATTGTAGATGAAACAACGAACATTATCCGCAGAGCTTAGATGTCGATTGTATTTGGTTACATGAAAGAAAGATTTGTGGGATTTTCTGGTGTGAGTAAGAACTCACACCAGAAAATCCCACAAATCTTTTCTTTCATGTAACCTAGAGACGCAAACACGTTATTTACTCACATTAAGAATTACTTAGACGAATTTCAATGCACTAAAAATTAGAGGCACAAACATACGACGGTGCTGCCGTAATGGCCGGACAACATAATGATGTGAAAGCCAGAGTTAAAGAAGTATCTAACCGTGTTATTTTCGTACACTTTTATGCTCACAGATTGAACTTTTCTCTCAATACGTTAAATATATAAAAGAATGTAAAATATTTTTTCAAACTGTACAGGATTTTTTTCATTTTTTTAAAAAATCTTCTACAAGATCCCATGCCTTAGAGCTGGAAGTCAAAAACTTCCAGCTCTAAGGCATGGGATCGTGTAGAACTTCCTTCAGTCACACCTACCAGATGAAATAGCACAATAGCAGTATTGTGAACTGCGTGATGAAGTATAAACTAAAATTAAAAGTTTTGTTGTTGAATATGGTTGATACAACAACTGCTTCAAGAGAATTATACAATTATTTAAAATTTGATATCAGTTTATATTACAAATTTGTTTTATCAAACAAATGCACAGTCGGATATCCTATTTAATATACTACAAATCAATTCTATGAACCGCCAGGGTGGTCGGAGAAGTCGCACCTCCCTTTCCGGCCACTTGTCAAGATAGCTATGTTACGATAATTGGTCCCGAGGTCGGAACTTCTGCTCTATGTCGGTCGAGTGGATGGAGAGTAATCGGGCTCGACGATAAGGCATAGGAACTATACGAGTAAAGGCGTATACCATTTAACAAATAAAAGAAGTTTATTTAAAATAGACAAGATTGACAAAAATTAGAAAACACTAATTTCGACACTAAACGCTTAAGGGATCGAGAGAGAGTTTACATGTGTTTGCATACCTCTTTATAAGTTTCCACGACGATATAAGTCCATTAAAGCACACAGATATCCAATAAGTGGTGTTTTTAGGATAATCCAAATTGGCACAAATGTGACTGTAAGGTCGGTGTCTCGCTGACACCACGTCAGGAGACCTAAATCTGACACCATCGAGTCTCTGAGGACTCGGAAATCGCTACGTTACGTCACGCGAGCGGTAGCGGGTGAGCAATTGGATTCGGAGTAGAGGTGAAGAGAGAGACGAGGAAGTGACTCACTCGGACTCCATAGTAATAAATAAATAACAATTTTAATAAGTACGAAAGAAAATACAGATATATTCGATATCGGGCATGCCTAAAGGTTATCCGAATGATACTAAGTCGTTCGAGAGAGAGAGTTTACAACCGAATCGCGGGTTGATAAATACCTTTCTTCTAGGTCGCAGATCTGTAGTATGATGACACTGTTGACTTCGATGGAATGTTCACTTAAATTCTGGTCCGTTAACAGGAGCTCGGAGGTGTGGAAGCACGGTAGTGGGGTGAGATTCTTAAAGAGGCACGGTGTTACTTCTGTCACGGTGTTACTTCTGGATTCTGGTGCACGGATTTTACGTCTGGATTCGGGTTCACAGGGTTAATCCTTGAGGACGACTTTTGTAGAGGGACTTTGGATGACGACAGACCTCGGGTTCTTTCCCTTTTCTCTTGTTATTCCTCTTGGGTTTTTCCATGAGGTCAGGTGGTTGTTGTTAACGGTCTGGCGTCCAATATAGACACTCTATCGAAAGTTCCGGGTGACACATCGCTGACTAGCTGGATCATCTTCAACAAGGAACCAACTCCGTTTAAATAGAAAATTTAATAAATTAAAAAATTAAAGCCATAAAAATTAAATAAATTTTTATGGCTTTTAGCCTAACACTCGATGATGAAATGTTTTAATAATTAAAATTTAAAATAATACTTTATCATGGGTCTGTTCGTCCCTCACACAAATATAAAAGTTCGCGACTGTGGCGGCGAACGGAATTCGATGGCGTCGTTCCGGCTTTCGTTAAGATGGAGAAGGAAACATCTTTTATAGCTTTTTGCTGGGAAAATCGGTTACGTGATCGGTTGTTATAGGAGATAAAAGTTATAGGTGTTCCCGGGAAAAAAACAAGTGACGAAATTTGGATGCTAACTATAAACTTTGGTGCAAGTTGAGCTGCAGGCTGTGTGGGAACAATAGAATGTTGACAGTTATGAAAGGAGGGTTTCAAATGCTCTCAGCTAAGATCATTTTTAGCCAATCCGTTATATAACAGAAGTAAAATAATTGAATTTTAGGTTAATAAAGTTCCAGATCTCACAATTCTAATATAGCATAATGTATTACTAAAATAAAGCAGTTCATTGAATTATTACGACAGAAAAGAAATGACTGATTTGATTTGAAATATTCGGAAGAAAAATTTTTCTGAAATTCAATCGTAAAACGAATGAAACTTACTAATATTGAATTTACAAAGGAATCATATAAACGTCTTTTTTATGAGATAATGGATACAGCGATAAAAAATTGTATTGACAGATTTTCAGACATAAAATCTTTGAAATTTTTATCACTTTCAGATGTTAATAATTTAAAATATCATGGAAAAAATTTTTCGACCGAGTTTTAATTCTTTAAATTAATTTTAAAGATTAATCTTTTGGTTTATCTAAATTACGTAGTGAATTGCAATACAGAATATTTATAGCAATACCTCTGTATTTATATTTGTTCTTTCTTTGTTGATTGTTTTTTTTTATATAACGAATTATGTACTAGCAGATAAGTCTGGCATTGCTCTGGCAAAAAGTTATGAGAGCAAAGATTAAAATTATTACATTATAGCCAATCTTACCCGTTTTCACAGAATGCAAAAATTAGGTTTCCCTGTTTCCAGACTAATCAAAAAATTATTAGATGGATCTAAAAATATGTTCGATTTCTCGCGAAAACGGAAAAAACCGCATCTGCGCCTGTACTGTACATCTTGCACGTTGCTTTCTCTTAACACTTCCATCGTTGCTTAACATTTCCATTATTAACACTTCCATTGTTACTTAACACTTCCATTGTTGAAGCCTTAATCCTGTCCCTGTCCCCCCGGGAAAATTTCAAAAATCCATTCTTAGTGTGCGTTCTCGTGACGTATCCTAACTGTGTACCAAATTTCAACTTTCAACTCCTAACCGTTTGGGCTCTGCGCTGATTATTATTATCAACCGTTCTCGATTATATATATAGATTTTTCTGTTTTTACATTTGGAAAAGGCCAATAGCCATAGTGTCGTTTAGCAAACATGCAAACCCAGACTATATTGGCAAGTAACTCATACTACGTTCGCACAGATCATGACTCGCTTCGATCTCGATTTACCTACAATCTCAATTGTGCCTGTCGAACGTCTAGCTGTTCGCACAGGCAGTTCGCTTGAGAAGAACCCGGCTATTACACGCGATGATAAAACTGACATAACTAGGCAGTAAGTCACGAACACCGACAAACAAAATGGAAATTTTGGTTAAAAATAAATACAGTAGGGGAAACTTGCCTAATTCGTACCCCTTAAGGAAAAACCATCATATTATCGAAATTAATAAACACAAGTTACTTTTTATTTTAAGTAACTTTTATTTGGGAAATATTTTATTACTACCATAATAAAATTTAGCATAAATCTTATAAACTTCTGAGAAATAAAGAATTTAAAAAAAAAAACACTAAAAAAGTACGATTCAGGAACATTCGTCTTAAATCGTACTGATATATTCTTAAATCGTACTTTGAGATCCTATCATTGGTTTTCAGTCTTAAAAATAAAAATCTTCATCAATAATGTATTAATACGTGTGTATATTAACTCTTAACAAATTCGGCAGATGGTCTTCGCCAATTTTTGGCAGTCATCGCAGTTGTAATCCGTTGTTTTTTTATTGGTTCCTGCACAAAGTTCATGTACCCATATCTCACATTGTGTGCATTTGATTATATTTTCTTTTACGTCTTCTTGGCATAATTTACAGTACCAACTGTTATTCTCATCTTCCTGTTTTTTTATTCTCCTTTTGTGATATTTTAGTAGTTTTACTTTTCTTCGCACCAAGATTCCTTGATACGTTTTCCTTTTTGCAATTCCAAGAATACCACGTAGTGGAGATATTATTTCAATTGTCGCTCGAACTATCTCTGTATTAGAAATGTTTACTTTCATACCTAAAGAACATTCCTTCGCATTCTCTTCTAGACATTGATCTTGCTGTTTTTCCAAAGGGTGAGTTGTCGGTACCTCAGGAACTGTGGGTACTCAACTTCTTCAGTCTGTTCTTGCTCAGTAGTCTGATGGATTGTGCCACACACGTTAAAGTATCTGTTTGTTCTTGCCGCCTTTCAGTTGCCAGATTCTGGGAGACTTCCACCGATTCACTTAGATTAGCATCTTTGTCAAGAACAACATATTCCTCATCCCCGCTCTTAAAGCGATTGCGAGGCCACAATCCGCAAGATTCGAAGTCATGCATTCCTGTGTCCGTACAAACGGCTCGAGGATATGCTTTATTAAGGAACCAGGATGGTTTGCATCCACGAAGCGCTAACAGCACTAAAATCAGTTTTAGTGATTTGAAAAAATGACCTATCTAGTCTATTCTTTGATGTGTATTCAGTCAAGTAATCAAGTAACAAGGGTATTTAACATAAAATATAACGGGGTATTTAACATAAAATATAACTGATGATCTGAACAAAGATGTACTAAAAGAATTATGTGATTTAATATCATTAATGTGTATCTTATCATCTACAGGTGCGTCTGTTAAGTGAGTTTTTCAACCATAAAGCAAATTGCTACATTTGCGAAGAACAGTCAGAGGAGGAGGATTCCTTAATAACAAAGTCTAGAAATTAATACAAATAAAACATACATTTGACAAGTAAAGAATTTTTATATGAAAGCATAAGTTATTTGTAAAATATATTACTATATTATAAATGAATTGAAAAAAATAAATAACTCCATAGCAACTAACAATGTTTATTTTGTCATTTTACCAGAAGTATTTTTGTGCCTACTCATGCTATACATACGCAATGGTAATTTCCGCCATCACCTTTCATACCTCTAATCAGAAAGTGGACAGCATCAGCAATAAAACTTGTAATAATTATTCTATCATTGTGAAACAAACTACATATTTATAATTATCGTATACGCAAAGTAATGAATTCTACGTCAGTTTTGTTATCAAGTCACTCACATTAATATTGATATGAATTCTGAAAATTCCAACATAGTATGAAGTATACATTTACAAGTAATTTTTACTATTTAAAATATATTTTAAATGCAGATAATTTTTTAGTTTTTTAAGTAATTTATTAACTCAAAAATACTTTGACGGTCCGTATACAAAATATATACTCTTAAAATGCAGATAATTTTTTAGTTTTTTAAGTAATTTATTAACTCAAAAATACTTTGACGGTCCGTATACAAAATATATACTCTTAAAATGCAGATAATTTTTTAGTTTTTTAAGTAATTTATTAACTCAAAAATACTTTGACGGTCCGTATACAAAATATATACTCTTAAAATGTTTCATTCCGTTTGACAAAATGAAAATTTCTAAGTATGCATTATTAATAAAATGCTATAACATGTGAATACAGTTTAGTATATGTTAAATTTCTTTATGTAATATAAGTTCTTAAAACATCGGTTAAACACAGTACAACATAATTAACCTGTTTTTCACAATCTGTTCATATCAGTCGGATTGAAGCCGCATACTTATGGTTGTTATTTGGCAATTTTCGACTGAAGCTTTCTTTCTTGATCTTGAACGTAACAATTTAAAAACCAGAAAGTCGAGAGGAGCTTGGATAAAGATGTAATAGATGAAAGATACAATCAGCGAAAGAAACAGGACCAACGTGAACAACATCCACTGAAAAAAAAAACAAAATTAACAATACAATTAAAATCTGAGTGGATCGAAAATGGTTAAGTAATACAACTCAAATTGTTTTATTTCTGAATTATTTGACGTTTTCACTTAAAATATACAGTGTTTATTCAATAAATCCTAAGCCACTGTAGACTTATTTACTTCAACATAAATACTTAAAATATAATTTTAAATTATATTTAGCAATTTTTATTTTTTAGTTTCAATCTAATATTTTATAAATGTTTGTTTCACATGAACGACAAAATGTTCGTTATGATATCGTTAGAATGCCGGGCTGCAATTTTTTAATTATATTTTAAATTATTTTAATTTAAAATATATCATCTCAACTTGAAATTACTAGTGGTTTGCGCCTTTAAATTATTCCTTTTCTTTAACAATACAGTCGGGCTGGTCATCATCTGACTGTTCCTTTAAATATTTAATAAGGATTACTATTATCTCTTACGCATATGATTTAGAAATTAATAAATATTACATATATTGCGAAGTATATGACTTTTAAATTTACATTCTAAATAATAAACTCTCGCTAATCCTGGCTCAATTATTCGTCATGCACAAAATTCTCTCAGAAAGATCAATTTGGATATTTATGAAAACGTATTTTTTATTATATGTTCGCTTATTGTATTAACGGTTTTAAAAAAATTGTTATAAAAACATTATTTATATAATAATATTATTTTTATCAGTATTTCTTTTTCTTATACTATATAAGACATTTGTATAACATTATAAATAATCTTTGGCCCAACAATTTCACTGATATTATACAAATATATAAAGAAATAAATATAAGAAAATAAAACATTGATNCCCCGCGGGAGAATTTTGAAAAATCCCGTCTTATTGTGCATTCCCATGGCATACCCTACTAAAACGCAGATAAAAACAAAAAATTGCATCTAAAATAGTGCAGTAGAAGCTGTTCTTCCGGTTAAGCCTTAATCCTCTCCCTCTCCTCCCCGCGGGAGAATTTTGAAAAATCCCGTCTTATTGTGCATTCCCATGGCATACCCTACTAAAACGCAGATAAAAACAAAAAATCGCATATAAAATAGTACAGTAGAAGCCGTTTTTCCAGTTAAGCCTTAATCCTCTCCCTCTACCCCCCGCGGGGGAATTTCGAAAAATCCCTTCTTAGTGAGCGTTTTCATGACGTACCCTAACTGTGTACCAAATTTCACCTCTTTAGGTTCAGTGGTTTGCTCTGGGCGATGATGAATCAGTGAGTGAATGAGTCAGTCAGGACAAGCAATTTTATATATATAGATAATTAGATGATGAAGAACGTAAATCCATACATTCAAACGATCTAAAATGCTAAAGACTTTCATAGATAGAAATCTGTTAACAACTCCTAAAAATAAAAAAATAAATTCGAAAACTTTAAAAATATATCTCACAATAGTAACATTCTATATGTTTACATAATGTAAAAAAACAATATGTTAAGCAGTAAATGCGGACGTATATTTCTAAGTATTCATTATTAATAGAATTCTATTACATTATTTTAAAACTCATTTTTCAGTTATTTGCCTTAGAAATAATGAATATTAAAATAACAATTATTAAAATTTTTCTAGTAATATAAGTACCATTAAAATATATTATATCTTTAAAAATCAATGCATTTTATTGAATAGTAGTTTCTGTTGTAATATTAAAATAACCGTCAAGGTAAATAAATATTAACAGATAAATCACAAAATATAACTTCTTTGAAACAGATAAAAAATATTTTAAGAATAAACAGTATTTAACTAAATAAATGAAAAGACAGAATGGAAATAAATTCCATTCAAAATTGTTATGCATGAAAAAATCTTTGAAAATAAGATCATGCTCTTCACTTGTTATCACAGTATTGTTTGTTCCTTCAATGATGTCTTAGAATAATGTTATCCAAACGTTTCGATTGAAGAGCCAAACTCTAGTTTAGTTGTTCAATGAATGTTTGTACATACAGTACGTAATATACAAACCAAAGGTTTGCTTATTTTTATCATTTGTAATTGATATGGTATGTTTGATTTGTCCCAAGACTGTAGTTAGGGCGTTGCTACCTCACAATTTATTAGAAATCTGACATTTTATTTGAAATACTTTCCAAAACAGTGGCAGTTATGTTTGATTCGCTTGTGAATGCAATAATTCAAAACGATATTTTCTACATTAACTTTAAAAATGTAAAATATATTTACTCTCTATACCTCAATACTTTCAAATATAAAATTGTTCAAGAGACGTACCTCCATATCCAGTTATACAAGCTAGACATATCCAAGAAAGTCCAATTATCAACATAAACGGTGACAAAGCTCTGTGAATAAAAACGAGAGATTTGTTTGGAGACACTTCAATTATCTGTTTGTGCAATCCAAAAGTAGAATACATCAATAGAGACAAGGAAATTATCCAGAAGATTACACGGTAAATCTGTAAAAGAAAATAAATGTTTTGAAATTAAAATATCTTTTCGTAACAGTTTAGATTTTTATTATATGTAGTTTTAATTTGGCCTGCTTTATGTTTGAAATTTGAAAAAGCCGTCGAACATATATAAAATGCAAGCGATTATTTATTGTGACATGGTCTTATTGCCAGGATGCAATTTATTAAATAATATTAATTTATTTAATTTAAAATATATGCTCTTCACCTCAAAACTGGTAGTGTCTTGACCCTGTACATTATACTTTTTTTGCTAACAATAGAGATGTGCCGGTTATTCATCTAATTAAATTAAGAGTATTCAAGTTTGAATTAAAAAATAACGTAACTTGTGTTAAAACCGAAACGTTCATTTGGAATTATTGTTCCTATTCTTCCATATCTGGTTTCTGACTACATTTATTTAACATTGTTCTCGATATTAAGAAAGACAGGCAGGCAGCAAAACGGACAGTTCGAATTTAAAAGTCTTGAATTGTTGCCACATAATTTATCTAAAATATAAGTATGGAATAAATAAAACAAATATGTTTCTTTCTAGTTTGAATGTACTGATCATTGTTTGAACGTACTGAACTCTTGAAAAACCTACCAACAAAAAAAGTGTAAATGTGAATCTCCGATTGTTGTTAAAGTTTAAAAAGTCTTTATTCCGAAGCCAACGCCCAGATAATTGTCACTAAGCAGGTCACTGTTAATTCCAAATTAAAGCAGTCGGAATTGATAGGTTTTAAGAATGTTAAATAGCCACTCAGAAACCCAGATATAAACACTAATATTGTTCGTGTCCAAGGGTGTTCCTTTACTTACCAATTTTTCACGGTAATACAGAATATTCTAATATTAAAATTCAATGTTTTCGTTGCATTTAAAACAAATTTATATATATACAATAGACAAATATAAAACATTTCTTTCGTTTCCAAGATAGATTTATTCAAAACTAAAACCTATTCTGTAGGTCATCAGGTTGAAAAGGATTGGATCATAAGATGAAACACATTTAAATGAAAAAAATTAACAACGGAATAAGAAAAAAAACAACATAAAGATAACTTATAAAAAGATATATAAAATAAAATGTAAAAAAATAATAAAAAACAAACTCAAATATATTGAATTTTCAACATAAAGGAATAATTTATATAATATGCATCTATAGACTAATGTATAAATTAAGAGTTCATTGCAAACTTTTTGACTATAAACTTCGAAGCCGATGATAGACCTTTTGCAACGCTTACATTTATGCATGCCTCTTCCAGTTTGCTCTTGTATATTTCAATGGGGTCACCGGTTCGGTCTGTCGGGTTCACATGTGCTCCTGTTTCCGATCGTCTCATCAGCGAAACCAAGGATTAATCAACCAAGTGTTATACACCGTTGGAATCAGTTCATCGTACGCTATGAAACAAGGTGTTAGTTTTCCGGATCCGTCCAGGCGTCTCGGAATTACGGCTTCCGGAAATTTCCGATCTTTGAGCAACTTTTTGCGGCCCGCTTCCGCCGGTAACGTGTGATATTATATATCATTTTGTAGGGGTTTAAACGTATTTTATAACGGTGTTTACGGTTTTTCTCTACGCTTTTTCGTTATCGTGTTATCACGACCGGAACTTTCGCACATCGGGCTGTCGTGCGGGCCTATCGGGCCATCGGTGCCGCTCACCTTCGGGTATCTCCCTTGTCATATTGGCACCTACCTGCTCTGTAATCTTCGCAGTGTTATCGTTATTAGTTTAGTTTTAACGGTTGTGTTTAAATTCGTTTGAGACAAAGGAGTCATAGGTCATTGTCCTGAGCACGTGGCCGGGTCTTATCCTCTTACTGACCCTAATACGGCGGGTTGTAGGAACGCTCTCTCGGGACGTAAAGCTTTCTTTTCTCGTGTTATATATCATCCGTTTCAGTAAATTCATATCAAACTAAATTCGTCTGTAGCATTCTGATATTAGTTAATTTTAATTAATTATAATTTAATGGTATTTCACCACGTTCCGGTGATACTAGTTACTATTTGTGTCTTGTTTTACAAATATTCCTGCCTATTACAACGTTCTTAGCAATTATTGCTCTTGTCCTTGTGTTAAACTTCAACTATGTCCTCTACCACCGATCCAGCCGCTAATGGCGGTAACACCTTGGTTCCTCGTATTGTTTTGTCCTCTCTAGAAGATAAAATTCTAGAAGAGGCTAACCAACACTTCATGCGGATTCTAGACTTGCTCCCTGAGAAAAATAGTACTTATATCAGAACAGAAGAGCGGAGAGAAGTGCGCGATAAAGTCACCATGTTATTCTCGTGCCTCGGCCAATTTCAAGGCATCCTGAAGGAGGTTCGGTCAAAGCTCTCTCAGGGCCCGCCGCACACCCCGGCTCCCTTAGCTCCACCAACATCCTACGCCGATGTAGCCAAAATGAATACAAGACCCAGCTTCACCACAAGATCTATCAACCAATCGTTGAAAAACAAAATTAACAACGAAGGAGCTGGAGGAAGCTACGCCGTCCTCTTATACCCAAGGGACGATGACGAAGGAAAAGAAGTCAACATGACTAAAATCGAAGAGGAGATAAAAACGAAAATAAAGCCACACGAACTCAAAATCAAGGTAAAATCAGTTAGACAGGTCAAAGGCGACGGGATATGCTTCCGCACAGACACACACGAGGAGGCGGAAGTACTCTCAGAGGCAATCAATAAACTCCCGGAGATTTCTAGTAAGGTGAAAAGTAAGATCTCAGAAGGGAGAAGGCCCAGATTAATCCTTACAAATGTACCAAAATCAGTCAACGAGACTGAATTAACATCCATAATAATTGAACAAAACGAAAACCTCCCAATCTCCAATGACGAATTTATAAAATCGACCCGTATCAGCACCATACTCAATAGGAATAACGCAAAAGAGAATTGTCGCCATATCGTCCTTTCCACCACACCTAAAATAAGAAACATAATGGTAGGCACAAAGCACGTAGCCATAGGATGGGCTAAGATACAAGTAAACGACTACATCCCTCTGGTCAGATGTTTTCAATGCTGTGGATTTAACCATATCTCCACCGACTGTACCAAAAACCAGAAGTGCAGTCATTGTAATAAAGGGCACAGGTTTGGTGAATGTCAAAGGCTAGAAGAACCCCCTTGCTGCACAAACTGTAGAACAGCAAACAAAGACCTACCAGAACAGGAAAAGTATAACACGGAGCATAATGCTTTTAACCCACAATGCCCTGTCACCATTCGCATGAAGGCACTGACCATTAGACAAACGAATTATGGAGTGTAACAAAATATCAAACACCTTGAGGATTCTACAAGCGAACTTACAAAAATGTAAAGCCGCCGCTTCTGATGCAATACAACTTGCGGCCACAAGGCATACGGACATCTTGGCCGTACAAGAGCCTTATACCTACCACAATAAAATCGCAATGTTCGGCTCCAATCGCATACTTAACCATGGTGATAGGAGTGGCAATCCTCCTAAGACCGGCTTCATAATCTTTAATGACAAGCTTGACGTTCAACTCATCACTCAGCATAGCAACGAATACTTCACAACGATTAACCTCAGCCTGAACAACATCAACTTTATTCTCATCTCGTTCTACTGTCCCCCTTCAGAGGACCTAACTCAGCCTCTCGACATGTTATCTTCCTCGGTGTTAAATCTGCAAAACTCACCAATCCTCATCCTAGGGGACTTCAACGCCAAATCACACTCGTGGCATAGTCCGGTTGAAGACCCCAGGGGTTATCTAGTGGAAGAATTGATGACACACCTCCAGCTAACCTCGCTGAATACCAGCCCTCTCCCCACTTTCTCCTCCACCAACGGAGAAAGCTGGATAGATATCTGCATGGGATCTGTCAAGCTTCAGCAGAACAACATCATATGCAACACTCTAGACTATCATGCGGTCAGCGACCATAACTTTATTGAAACGATTATAGACCAGTCAACCCCGCTCCCTCGCTACTCTCTAACCCAAAGGACTAACTGGGATTTATACTCCCAGCTTATTCAGTTATTCTGGATCCCGGGGAACATCTCAGCGATAAGTGACGCTATGGATCTGGAAAATGTTGTGGAGAGATTGCATAACACAATTCATAGGGCCTATTATCATTCAACGACAATAAAGACGGTGAAGTCCTCTGCACCGTGGTGGAACGCGGACTTACAAAAACTAAGGGCCAGTCTCAGGAAAGAAAAGAAAAAGATGCGTAGGGAATCTGACCCTGACCGCAAGCTGGAGCTCAGAGCCACTTATATGAATCTCTTCCATAATTACAAGACTGAAATTAATAAGGCAAGAACTAACTCATGGAGAGAATTTTGCTCCAATGCAGGGGAAAAGAATCCATGGTCAACCCCATTCCATCTAGCAGTCAAGAAAAAGAAAAAACTAATGATCCCCCCTACCATCCAGATAAATGACAACGAATACACGACGACAATCTCGGAAACCTACAATCACATCATCAACGAACTTTTTCCAGAAGACAACGAAACCACAGATCACCAAATTCACAGGGAAATTAGGTCTCGTGCTCTTGAGGCCTACAATAACTATAATGATTCTCCATTCACCTACACCGAAATAGATAGGGAGTTTGAAAAACTAAAGCACAAGAAAGCACCCGGGCCGGACAAAATCACGGCCAAAATGGCCAAACTTGCGTTTAAGGCTATCCCAACCACGTTTAGCCTCATAATGAACAAATGCCTACAGCTGGGGTACTTTCCTATCATATGGAAACAAGCTTCTATCAAGCTAATACCGAAATCTAGCGACAGTTCTCCTCCTAAAGCATCCAATTTTAGGCCCATTTCTCTACTTCCATTCGTTGGCAAGGTCCTTGACGCCTTAATGGTGAATAGGATCACCTACCACTTTGAAAAACACACTATTATGAACGACAGCCAATACGGCTTCAGAAAGGGCAAACGAACAATCGACGCCATTGATAATATCAAGAACTACGTCCTTAACGCCCGACAGAAAGGAATGCACAGCCTGATGGTTACCATCGACTTCAGGGGTGCATTCGACCATGCTTGGTGGCCGGTCATTTTAAACAACTTGAAGACCAATAACTGCCCAATGAATATCTATAGCCTTGCAAGAAGCTACTTACAAAACCGCAGTATCATCGTGGACACGGGCAATTTCAATCTTCTACATAGGAACATCCATAGAGGGTGTCCTCAGGGCTCGAAATCGGGGCCCTATTTGTGGAATATCCTCTATAATGGACTCCTAAATCTACAACCAAATTTCCCTAAGGACTATAACGTACATCTGCAAGGGTATGCAGATGATACAGCCCTCATTCTTAGTCACGTAAACTTGAAAGTACTGCAAGATAGGACCAACGAAGTTCTAGCCATTATCCATGAATGGTGCAATGAGGTAAAGCTTTCTATCAATCATACCAAATGTACCGCTATCGTTTTTCCAAAGGGTAACCCACTCAAGAAAGGGCCCAGCATCAAAATAAGCGGTAAAAAGATCCAAAACGCAACTGCAGTCAAGTATCTAGGGATTATCCTCGACCATCGGCTAAACTGGACCGACCACGTACATCACATCTACGAAAAGGCTACCAAAGTAGCCCAAGCGCTCAAAACGATAAGCAGAAATAAATGGGGCTATGGTCCCTCGGCGAGCAGGATTCTCTACACCGCGGTTGTTGAGCCCATTATTACGTACGGGGCAGAGATCTGGGGCTCATCGGCTACGAGGGTCCACATCAAACGTAAGCTTCTCTCCATCCAAAGGCTGTCGGCCATAAACATTGCCAAAGCCTACAAGACAGCCCCTACAGAGGCCCTTCTTGTCCTCAACAACACTCTCCCTATTGACCTTAAGATCAGAGAAGCAAATATAAGATATAATTTGCACAAGTTAGCTAAAGGGGAGATAAATCTTGAGACCTTCAGCACCGCTACTTGCAAAGAGACTTACAACAATGAAATTAACCAAATTGCGATGCACGTCACCACCTACGGCCTTGACAAACACAAGGACCTGCAGTACATCCACCCAAGCTTCACCAGCATTCAAAGTTCAATACACGATCCAATAGATAAACACTCAATCAGCATTTTCACCGACGGATCGAAATCCAAGCTCGGCGTTGGCTGTGCATTCACAGTCTATAAGGGAACCCAGTGTCTCTACCAGAGGTGCAGGAAATTAGCACCTCACTGCACGATCAATCAAGCCGAGTCTCTGGCTATCCTGGAAGCCATTACCTGGATTACAAACAACCACAATACAGTGAATCAACACAACTACCAGATCTTCAGCGACAGTCGAGTCGCCATACACCAAATAGCCAAGTGCAACACAAATCTCCCTATCATAAGGGACACCATCAATAGTATCCGTGCCCTCAGGAACAGAGGCATTAACATAGACTTCCACTGGGTCAAAGGGCACTCTGGGGTTGCGGGTAATGAGAGAGCGGACCTTCTTGCCTCCAAAGCACCAACTTTAGCAACTAATATCTCCTACAATAGAATTAGCATCACCCATCTCAACAATCTGTTGCACGACATAATTCTCAAAACTTGGAAATCCAGATGGGATAATGGCAATACAGGCAGGCTCACCCACCGCTACCTCCCTTCTCCTTCGGACTGTCCTAAAAGGAATTTCAATACCACCTTCCAGCTAACACAACTGTTAACGGGGCATGGTAACTTTAATTCTTACTTGCTGAGGTTTCTAAACAAAACCGACGGCAAATGCACTTGTGACCTCAACGAAGAAGAGGACCCCGAGCACCTAATCTTCCGCTGCCCACTCTATATAACCCAACGAAAGAAACTCAGGGATGCTGTCTACAACAAAGGACAACTATGGCCGTGTGACCTTCGTACGTTTTTTAGCGACAAGGACAACATCAATGCATTCAAAAACTTTGCCACCGAAGTTAATAAACTCAATTAAGCTGTTTTCCTTGTTCGCATATGTTCACCATCTTCGAGTATTTGTATATCCCATTATCTCAGCTGTTAACAAAAAATTGTCGCGCAATTCTGGCTAAATGCCAGCCTTGTACATAGTCTTATTTTACTTATACTGTTTATTTAATATTTTTTGCTTAATGTCTTTTGTCCTCTAATAAACCGGTAATTATTGTCGCGTATATATGCTATATTGTACCACATTCACTTATTCTGCATTGTAATTGTATTTGTATCTGTATTCTGATCTAATTTAATAAATGCGATGCAAGACCTCATGGGCTTCCCTTCCCACTATCCTATCTCCCTTACTTTAATCTTCATCTACTTACCTTCTCGCTACATTCTTCCTTCCTCTTATTGTCTAAATGGCTATACCTCTGAGTCCAGCCATTTCTTTCTTAACTCTGTAACTCTGTATATTTCAATTTTTTTCAGCAGTCCTTGCTAATGTTGGAAAGAACAAGAATTTGACAATGTCCGCTTCATCCAATTTTATTATCGAGCCTCGGGTCTGCTCCATCTGAAAAAGTACTGTTGTGTTGAAACCTTTTCTAATGTTATATTTGTGTTCTTTGAGTTTTACTACCAAATTCCTTGTGACGCCAATATATTTTTTTCTTCATTCCTAGCTGTACGTTTTCGTAAGGAATCTTGTACTCAGTTGCTTTTTCTTCTTTCTTGATGTTATATTTGTCATTTCTTAAAATTTCATATAGGATCGGAGATCTTTTCAGACTCCTTCATTCTTGACTCCTTGCGATTCGCAATTTCTTTCATAATGCCTTTCGTACTTCTGTTATATGTAAACTTTGTGAATTTACCGAATTCATGTCTTGAATCTTTTGTTCTCATTTCGCATGTATTAGCTATTCTTGATGTTGTGCCTTTTTTTGTATCCCAAGGCTTCGGCTACTTCTATAATTCTTTGAATTTCCTTTGCTCTGTCCCCACCACTGACACAATATAGAAAGACCCTTCTGATTAGAGTTCAAAATGCTGCCAGCTTTTAACGATACAAATCATTTGATTGTGGAACGATGTAAAGCGTTGGTTTGATGTAAACACTAATGGATAAATGCACTTTTTTAAACTGGATGTTTATATCTAAAAAATATACTGTTAAAGAACTTTTTTGTTTTATTCTTAATTTTACGCCGTCGTTGTTAGCATTGATTCTATTAACGAATTCATTTATCTTACGTTTTTCTTTTATAAGATAAAGATATCGCCCACATATCTTTTAAAGTATACAATATCATTTCTGAAATCATAAAAAACTCTTTTCTGCAATTTTCAGTAAGTTCTGTTAAATGTTTATATATATGTAATTTTATCATAAATAGACTGATGATGACAATAAAAATAAAATTGTAGTTTAGTATTTATGTATTGAAATAAATAAACATCAATGAAACTGAAAGTGTAGCTAGTCGAATTTAATATTTCGTTGAGCTCATTAAATAATGACAAATATTCTGAATTTTAATATTTTGACTGATTATTTTGTGCATGTAATCCTTAACTTCCAATATAACTTGTATTTGTAATATGATTTATGTTACAATACGTGTAATACGATATCAGAAATGTGAGAAAGATGACTTACTTTTTTAAATTTTATCTCCATTTTGTTTGCCAGAATATTTCCAATTAATAAACCCGTGCAATAAGAAGTGAGGTGCGAGTAGTACGGTCTTGTATAATTATTAAATAAATAAGTATACAATTTTCTGTAAATAAAATTCATAAAATTGTTATTTTTTGCATATAGCATGCCAGCTATATTATAATGTATAACTTTTTATTATTGCTTTAAATATATTTGACAAGCTAAAAAGATTTATGGCTTGACGAAAAGTTATCTAAATACTTTCTGTATGAACCTGTTTAATACAGAAATTTACCATGTATATTACATCATAAGTATTTTATATAAATTAACACCACATACATAAATATATATATATATACATGTGCTTTGAATAGATTTATCCCTTTGCCTCATATTGCCGTAGTAAGCAAGATTTATGTAAATAAAGAAAAATATAAAATAGTTTACTCTAACTGTTTAATATCACTAAAACATACTCCCTGTCAAAAGAGTATCCAATGAAAATAAAGGTGTCTGTCATCACCATGTAAGTCACGTGTGAGGTAATGCCGACAATAAGTAATATAAATATTACAAATTTCCCATGTTTCGGCCATCTGAAATAAAAAAATATTCAAATGTTATCAGTAAAATAATAATAAATTAATAAAATACTTTTAATTTATCTACAGTGTGAGAAAAGCAGAACTGTCAGCAAAAAGTTCGACTTATATTTGAAATTTTATGTCGAACCAGTTTTGCTAACAATTACAGTTTAATTACGAATTTTCTCGAAATAAATTAATCCAAAATTTAAAAAATAATTAATATTTTCTTTCAAAGAAAAAATCGTCCACTTCCAAACAGAGAAAATATTTTCAGATACGCTATTTCTAACACGAAATATATTGTCACACTACTCTGGCCAGCTAATATACTAGCCTTATATTTTTCTTGTCATTTATGAATAAAACTAAATCACTTTGAATTGTTTTTAATACACAAATGATCGTTAACGAGTAAATAAAATATTCATTAAAAACCTGTATATATCGGAGTATAACAGTGATAAATACAATTTCGTTTTGGTTGTCTTCCGTTGTTATGGTTTCTCTTTTTCTTTTACATTTTAAAAATATATCACAATCCTTTCCGCCATTTTATATAAGCCAGAACACTATATTACTCGACTTAATCCAAATTATTGGTGACTGAAACTGCCAATATTAAACTATTCGAATGAAAGAATTTATAAGATGACATTGCTGAATATTGTGCATTTCACGAGAAATTTAGGCTAGATATTAGTATCTCATATGAATTTCTCATGTGCACACGTGACAATGAATAAGCCAATTCGAAATTAGAATCTGGTGCCACGTAATTGTAATCGCATTACAGTGATACATAGATAAAATTATTATGTGATGTGTCAACTTCAGCAATTTTAATACTCTAATTACTATTTTTAACGTTATCCTTTATCAGTCTCCATAATCTTAATCAATTTTTTCTCGTATATTCGATGCTAATTAGGCAGTAGTTCTGCACAAAAGATAAATCGGCAGAATTTACCGTCTTATTTCTATCGTACTTTTTATTCAACCACGCTCTTATATCACTAAATAACCATATAAGTTATTTTTCTCCTTACCTGTCACACACGAATAACAATGGTGCTGTGATAATCGTTAATTGCAACAAATCACTCATAAACCAAAAATCAAACAAAACCTGCAATTTCAAAAAGTACATAGATTAAATATACAATAAAAATATTTATTGAGATGAAATTTGGAACAATTACGTTATGTGGATAAATTTCATAAACGTGAGTATGAAATGCAAATTTCCACCAATGTTGTTCTGCAAATTCAGCCTCACGTTTAACATATTCCCAATGTGGACCATCGCCCAAAAGAGGTAAAATAATCATCGTGGCCAAAACACAAAGAACTGGTAGTGTTAACCTGAAAAATTTTCGTGCATTTTACATCAATAAAAGCTTTTTCATGCAAGAGTTTGGTTTCCTTTACCTTACCTGATCGCTCTGTTTATTATGAATTGCACATATTGCATGTTTGACTTTGCTTTTTGTTTTCGTGTGTAAAATGTTAGTAATCCACTAAATAAAAAATAAATACAAATCATTTTATCAGCTATTTTGTTATACAGGAATTCTTAACATCATAATTTAAATTTACTATAAATTTAAATACCATTACAAATACAGTGAAACCTCGGTATACGACCTTAATCCGTTTCTGGTGTTTGGACTTATACCGAATAGGACGTATACCAAACCAACTTTTTCCATAAGAAGTAATGTAAAAATGATTAATCCGTTCTCATGTAAAAAAATGGCTGGCTTTAAACACCTCGCTTTAATGGCTGGTTTCTGCTTGATTTTTCATGAGATCAGCATGTATCCTTTTAACTTTCTCGCAAATAATTTCTTCCGATACGCTGTTGCCGGCACACTGTTTTTCAGTTATCCAAAGCAAAAGCAATTTCTCGACATGATCTAATGCAGGGGTGGCCAACTTTTTTAGCAGGCGGGCCAAATTTCAAAAATAATATTTCCTGCCGGGCCACGCACCTAATTTTTTTTTAATTAAAGTAAACAAGCAAGCGTTCCACACCTTCATCCGCATCGTTGCTTTCCAGTAGGTGAGATCGTGGTCAAACACTTTCCTGATTTAATGTAAAAAAACAAAAAATAGGTATATTTATTTTTTTGAAGAAAATAAAACATAACCGAGAATCATTTATTTAATAACCGAGAAACATATTTATTAGACAATTTAAAAATTTGACTTTGTTTTACAGAACTAACAAGTAAGTGCATCAAAATTGACCTGGACTGATGTTGTCGCTACACGCAAACAGTTTTCCAAATGAACATCAGTAATTCGTGTTCTCACTTGTGATTTGATATACTTCATGCGACTAAAAAGTTGTTCACACGCATACGTGTTTCCAAATAGCGTAACCATTGACAGAGCATGATTGTAAAACGCAAGATATTTATCCTTGTCCAAATACGTTTCATAGAACTCTTCCAAACCTTCTTAACTCTTCTAATGTTCATTTGGTGATATTACAATAAAGTTAACATTTATGTTCATTTGAC